GTTGGACCAAGTGTCTAAGTGCAGAGAAAACAAGAAATATATGGGTTATATATAGTATCTATGTCTATATTTTTATTCTGCATTATCTCCAGTAACAGTTTCTTTCTAAGGCTTCCTCTGAAAGAACTTCTGCTGTGTTTCTTAGACTCAGGGGCAGGGTATGAGAACCTCACTGCTTTTTACTTCACCCCTAAACTTAAATAGGAGGTAATTTGAATAGAAGGTAGACAACAAACCAAACAGCATTTATTTCAAACACATTTGCACAGAACTGCTTTAGTATTATAATTTAATATGATTTATGTGGATAGCTGTTTGTTAAGGCTCTGGCTCCTCAGGCATCTCGAACACTCTGGTCATGTCTGGTTTCTTGGCATGCTGTCTAGCCGTAGTGCCCGTGCTGTCCTCTGTATCTGTGAGTCCGAGTTGTAACAGGGCCCTCGCTGTGATCGCATGCTGGCCGATGCATGCCATGTGTAACGCTGGGAATTATAGAACAGAGAATGATTCAACGTCCACCATTTACCAGTTTGTAATTGTTTTTTTTTTTTACAGTAAAGACATACATATGTTAGCCTGTGTATAATCCTTCCTTGCAACCATCGTCAACTTATCTGACTTGGCAATACCAAATGAAAGCTTGTGGGATCCAACATAGATTTTACCAGGCTATGCTGCTTGGCCAGATGACGTAATGCCATTATTAACAGCTATGATTCCTGTTATTTGTTCAGTAAACAGCAGTACCCTGAGTACCCTCCAAAAATCAGTGATCTCAGTCCTCTTCCAAGCAAACCATTGTTTAGCTTGTTGGCGCTAGGAACACAGTTTGCACCAAGGTGAGCACATAAAAGATACCAAGTGCTTTTATTACCATGGTAAAGCTAGTTTCACTTCCAGTACTGGCCGAATGGATGATCATTTTTGAACATACGGTAGCCTGTATAGATTTACATATTTGCATCAGTACGACCACAGACAACAATGTGCATGAAGAGTTTTAAAAATGTTAACAGTCCATAAGAGATTTAAGGGAGAAAGTAACAGAAATGATTTACCTTAAACTTTTAGCAATACTGACACGTTATTAACTGTAGTTACCAACTATAATATTCTATATTTCCTCTAATGAAAACGCATTTGCGTGACAGAGGTAAAACTCCATTAAAAACAACAAATTTCTTAAACGTATTTGTTAAATAATGGGTTAATACAGGCACTCTTAAGAGAGAATGAGAAAAACAGAAACAGAATTTTTTTTTAAATAAAACTTAAAAAGGAAGGGAAAGAGAAAGAAAATATTATGCACATGTGCATGATGCACCAACAAATCCAATCCAAAACCCAATTTGGTAGCAAAACACGAACAAATACAATGGAGAAAGATATGTAAAAAGAAGAGGATAAAAACAAAAAGAGAAAAACAATACAATAAGGAGGAAAAAAGTGGGCAAATTTCTAACCAGTCAAGGAACACCAGCACTTGTAAACAATTTAATGTGCTTGAAAATCAAGGAAATGTGAAACCAAACAAACAGAATGGAAATGATTCAGTGTCACAAAAGATCAATCTCTGGTGCTGACTTCACCAAACCATTTAGGTGTGAAAACTTCTTACCTGAGCGTCCTTTCTTATCCCTAGCATGAAGATCAGCACCTAACTGCAGCAGGGTTTTTATGGTGTTCGTGTGTCCTTCCTGAAAAATGCACCAGACCAGAGGGTGAGTTTTCCAAAAGCATTGTACTATAACACTTACCATCAGAGATTGAGATCATTTCGTATGGAGATTTGTCCGTTATTTTAGAAATTGTTCAAGAAAAGACTTGACCTTGGCAGCGTAATGAAGAGCTGTCAACTCCAATGCTGTGGCTCTCACGTTCACGTCAACGCTAAGCTCGTGTACGAGGAAACACAGTGCCTCTTCTTGAGCTGTTACAGAAGCCTGGTGTAGTGGCTGCGCTCCAAGAATATCCACAGCAGTTGGACAGGCCTGTTTTGGAAAAAAACAACAACAACAACAACAACAAAAAAACAACCACACACACTTAATTAATTATATTTTTATTTAGTAATCCATGCTCAATTAAATTTACCAATCAAATTGTCTTTTACTTGGTGTTTCTCCAGCAGCAGCTTGGCTAGAGCCAGATGTCCATTCCTCACAGCGTCCATGAATGGTGTAACGCCACAGCTGTCTTTCTCATCAGGCCTATAATCACATCTGGATAAGACAAAAGAATCCTGTTGGGTTTTTCACTGCTGTTTTCTAACACAATAAAGGGAAATACAAACCTACCGTGCCTATACAAAACTCAACTGTACGTTACATTCGGTTGTTTGTTCACAATTTGGATAAATCACAAGAATTGACATCATCCAACACAAGTCAAGGCAGTTCTGAGAGTAGAGATTAGTTTTAGTGCTGGTGTTAGTAACTTCACAGTTTCTGAAATGGGAAAGTCTTCAGGACAGAGGATTTTACTCTGTGCATTTTTTCAGTAACATAACAATTTAGCAATTTCATCTTATTAACTTCAAGAGAGAAAAAAAGAGAGGCTGGTGATGGAATGAGTATTTATAGCCATTATAACGTAAGTGATAACAGGAACTAAGTTTTGCGGACATTCTACATCACTAAATCTTACTATAAATGAAAACGAACAACGTGTCGTTCTTTTACAGTTAAAAAAAATGTGAATAATTGGAAAATTGCTATGGAATAGAGGCCTAAATACTTTGTACTGGAAAATAATCCACAAATGGGTGGTGTGATGCTGGTTGCAAGAAGTAGAGAAGTATTTTGTGAATAAAGACTTAATTGTATTTTTTTGCGCACACAAAGCATTCGCATCGCTTGCTTAATTGGGATTAAGCCCCTGGAGTCACATGGATTACTATTACGATGTATTTGTGAACTTTTTGGAACTTGAAAGTTTTGGTTACAGTGATTGTAAACAAAGGGACAGAAATCTCCCAGGTTTCATTAAAATATCTTCATTTGTGCTCCGAAGATGAACAAACGTCTTATGGGTTTCGAACGACATGAGGGTGAGTAACTGATGATGGAATTTTCATTCTTGGGTGAACCATCCCTTTAATATATCTCAAACAGAATATACAATATCAGCAACTGACCTCTCAAGAAGAATCTTGACAACTTCCAGACAGCCATGCATAGCTATAACACAAGTCGGGAATTAATATCGGGCAAAAAACAATGTTTATCATGTTACATTTATTAAATAAACAGTGCTAATGGTAGTGAAAAAAAGAACATGCCAAAGAGACATAGTCAGCTTATTTTATAAAATCCTAAAGAGCCTAAAGAGCTGGAAACACTGAATAGGGTTACATGGCACCTATTTAAATGATCATTAAAAAAACCTAACAAGCACTGGCTTACATAAAGAATGCTTTCTTCAGTTCTGATTGAAATGCCAAGTCGACAAGGTATAGGTTACAAGACAAGGCAGCAGGGGTGTGGCCAAGCACCAGCACCTTTATGACCCATGCTTGCTGGTATGATTTCCCTCACTCAACAACGACACCTTCGGTAAGATGATTTTTAAAACGTCGAGGGCGGGACACTTCAGATTCTATAAAGCATTTGATTGGACAGAAAATCTGACGAGAAGCTGAAGTGCAGAATGATGTCATGAAAATTGTTGATCCATATTGGTGGTAGCGAGAGACTGTTAATTTTGAAGGCATATATCTTCTAAATGCAAATTCTGTCGTTGTTTTGGAGGACACTAGCATATAGATAACCTTAAGGCTAACGTATTCTTACTATATGCCACAAAACGTCAAGTTTATGTCAGTTACCATGGTGTCACATGTATCTTGTAACCACTTATTTAATTATATTGTAAATCATAAGCACAGGGTTGTTTACTGAACTACTACAATTATATTTTTTGCCATTGTGATGTACAAATCTGTGGTTTAATTCTCAATTAGAGTGGACACTGCAATACCAGCAGTATGTAGAGGAGTCCGGCGTGTCTTGCTCTCCGTCCTCCACACTTCTGGCCTGATGTGCAGAAGGTGCTCTATCACAGCTGGATCGCCCTCTCGACACGCAATGTGGAATGAGTTCCAGCCATCTTTATTCTGCAGAGTCGGGTCAGCACCATGGTCCAGAAGCACTCTGATCACCTCGAGGTTACGGCGCGTGCAGGCCATCATCAGAGGAGTCCTGAAATGATTATTATTTTGTTAATCAGATGTTTGAGTTTATGGAAATGTATTATTTTAAAATAAGCCATGTCTCAAAGTGTTTTAGTCCTGTTTTTTTTTTTTGCCAGCAATTTAAATTTTATTTATTAAAGAATGACACATTATACTTTTAACAGTTTTTTAGCTACATCTAATGTTGTGGAAGGGCGACAAAAACAAGTTTCGGTTATCTCTTATGTTACAGTAGCTATAAACAGTCCTTCCCTCACAAGTCTCTTTTGTTCTCTTTATAATAATACAAAAAATAAACTAGTCACGATACTGAGTAAACATGAAACATAGAGTCCTCTGTCCTGAAGACTTTCCTGTGAAGAAACATTTACTGGCTGTTACAAAGCAATGACACAGGTGACTCCTTCCATAAGTGTTAAATAAGCATCTCTCTTTTGTTTTCAACCGGTTTATCATTAGGCTAAATTACGTGTCCAGCGTACAAGTCCCAGTGATTTTCACTGTGAATAATAGAAAAGATAGCTTCGATAACATGCATTAATACACACCTGTGATTTACAGCAGCACTATCATCAGAGCTGCTGTTAAAGAAAATTAACCAACACCTTCCCAAATCAGATTCGATAATTCAACAGCACTGTGATATAATTAGGATATAGATGCGACTGGTGTTGATAATGGTGTTGAAAAGATATTTACTAAGACATTATTAGTAATTTAATTATGGCTTTAGTATTTTGGATGATTTTACTAATGATGTCCAGTATAAGGGGGAAAAACCCTATGAAATTGGTGAAAAAACATTGCCTCCTTCGAGCCGGATTCGAACCAGCGACCTAAGGATATCAGCGTTAACGTCTACAGTCCTCCGCTCTACCAACTGAGCTATCGAAGGGCATGTCGGGTAACTCGGGTGACCACATATCACACTAGACCCTGCTGTGTCGTTTTCAAACGACTCTCTAAAATTTTGCCGACTCTTTTAAACGACACATTTGCTTTTTTTTGGGTGGGACAATTCCGTTATTCTTTTGCGTAACTACATCAGAAATTTCCATGGTGATCTCTTCAAAATCTAAACCATAGTTAACCCAAGAAAAACGCTGACGATCATCAACACCGCTGATTTTGTACGCATTGAAAATGGCCGATCGGGAGTCGATTCTTATCGGTGAGCTGAGTCAAATGATCCGACTCACCGTAAAAGAGCTACAATTCCCAATCCTACAACGCGAAAAGCAATGTAAACCAGGTATAAACAACCTGAGAAGATTACTATAACGTTCGCCTTACCAGTCTGCCTTCTTAAGACAGTCAATTTTTGCTCCTTTATCGACAAGGTAGCGAACACATTGCTCGTGACACATGGAAGAAGCTTCGTGTAAAGCTCGCTTGTAATCCTTATTGTGCAGCTCGACGTCCACGTTCAAGTCCTCGACAAAATACTTCACAATATCTAAATGTCCATGTCTGGCTGCATAATGCAGCAGAGTGTCTCCAGATTTCCCAACAGGTGCATTCATGCACTGTTTCATTTCGCTCGTTTCCTCTATTTGATGTTTAATCTTACACAGATGTCCATCCTGAGTCAGTTTGATTAAGAGCTTAGATGTGCTTTCGTCAGCCATTTTGGTAAAGTATTTTTTCAAAACGTGTGGGCGTTATTCTAATTCATATAAACACGACGCACGAGTTTGCTTCTTGGATTTATTTTTTGTTGTCATGCGTGAAGCAAACAGCAATGTCATCACCAAAGGGTGAAAATGGCTGCAAACGTCTTCTTCAGAGTAAACCAACATGGAGGAATTAGAACCGCATCCATGGACGCCTCTCAGTGCTCAAACTGATGCTTCCTCGACTCCAGAAACAGTTTAATAACCTTTATATATATATATATATATATATATATATATATATATATGAAATAATAATAAAAAAAAGTCTTAACCAAAGAATAAAACCTTTCACCTAAGGTAATAGTGAAGTGGAAACAGAATGATTCCCCCCCCAGAATCTGTGGTCAGATATAAATAACAATGTCATTCCCAATAAAGTAAAAGAAACTCACTTTAAAATTATATATATATATATATATATATGTTATATATATATATGTGTATATATATATATGTGTGTGTGTGTGTGTGTGTACGCTATAACCAACATTTAGAATTATTACTTTGAAGCATAATCTAATAATCAATATTAGTTCACAAGTGGAATCTATATGTATAATCAATATTTAGATGCATAATCTAAATATATAGAACACTTTTTAATCAAGTTATATTCTAAGTGTGCATTGAGTTAGATGAATTCTGTCTTAATGTACAATAATTGTTTTTCTGTATCATCATGTACCTTTCTACACAGCGATACATTGGCATTAGACATTCGCTGAAACTGCTTTTGTAAGTAAAAACCCATGAGACCAAATACCCATTAACGAGTTATGACAGGGCCTCAGGAAGGGAGGTGGATATCAGCTAGGACGGCAGACAAAAGTCCATTGAGACATTAGAAGGGAGTATTGGTCAGAGAAAAACAAAACACAAAGACTCTTTATTTAAAAATAAATAAGTAAACAAATAAACTTTGTCCTGATAGAACCTTTTTAAGAAAAACAACTAACTGTGTATGTGCCACAAATTTAAGATGACATATAGACATGAATAATTCATTGCGGTGAAGAAGATCGGTCTGTTTTTAATGAGAAAAGTTAAAACCCCCGCCTAGGATGAGTTCGCTGTGGAGAAAGTTATAAAAAGGACTGTGTGTGTTTGCATAATTTAGACTTTCTGCAGACTGTCTCACTTGATTGTTTCAATAAAGTTTGATTACTTTTTGGAATCTTCAAACCCTCTGTCTCTGAAGTTTTTTGACTGGAAAGACTGCATTTAAAGAAGGGGTTTTCACCATTATGTTGTTTTTGTAAAGAGGAATCAGAAACAATCTAACATTTATTTTTCAGTTGCTATCATACCAAACTATTCTGAGCCCAAGTTTCTTTGTTTATTTTTGAGTTGTTTTACAAGTTTGTCACTTTAACTGATATAAGGGTTTTGTTTATGGAGAGTGATAACAGTTTATTGGAAATGAACAGTATAATTAAAATTCTTATTTTATTTGGGAAAGCAAAGTATATGTTAACTGTACCACATGGTAGATTATTTTCCACTGACTTAAAGGGTTTCTTACGACTCTCTAATTTCAATACAGAAAAATCGTAAAGCTGTTAAGACATCCTGGCTGTTGAATAGGATACTTGATGGACTATACATATGATTGATTTTTGAAATATGATGCAGAATTTTGATTTGATAGATTCAAGTGTTTTTGTATGACTTTGTATTTCTCTACTGTTGTTTCGTTAAAAAAAAAAAAAAAGAAAGCACCCTTGTTTCCTCGCTCCTCCGTCCAACTCGGATATCCTTCGACGTCAATCATCTTGATGGACATATCAATCCTCTAATTTCACCACGAGGAGTGAGGAAGCTTCCAGAGAAACTAGGAGCAAGGATACACAGGTGAATCCTATGTGGAAGTGTTTCCTGTCGAAAAACCTGACGCACATATAAATCTCCCACAATCTCCAACAAAAAGTCTTTTGATGATGTGATGGAATTTTGCGTGTAATATAATTAAATAATAACATGCTTGCAATGAGTATTGTAATTTATTGATCCTGGGATGTTTGGTTATGCAAAGCTACACAAAAGATGCGATACATTATGTATTGTTCATTAAGTCATTGTTGAATAACCCAGACATTTCACATACTATCAGTGAGTGCTTTTAGCTTGATGAAGAATGTTGTTATTAACCAAACTCCATAATAATGGCACATCATAACATCAGATCCCTGAAGCACAGTGAGGTCATCCAGCTGAGCACAGTCATCATTAATTGACGTCGCTTTGAAGTGACGCTTGAGAGAGTGAGGATATAACATTTCCACTTGCTCCGGTTCCTCTCTCCTCACATCTCATCCTTGCATGCTTCTCTCACAGCCTGAGGGGGTGGAGCTGAGATGCAAGGAAAGGAAATGAGCATGCACAAAAAAGTAATGAGAAGCATTACAATGGTCAATTTTGTTAGATCTGATAATAATATCTATCTATCTATCTATCTATCTATCTATCTATCTATCTATCTATCTATCTATCTATCTATCTATCTATCTATCTATCTATCTTCTGTCTATCTGTCTATCTGTCTGTGTGTTCTAGTTTATTTGTGGTGTGGTACAAAATCAATTGTCATTCAAATAAATGTTTTATAAATAAGACTCAATCTCTGTGAGAATTTTACATATATTATTTAATATTTAGTCTATTTAGGGCAACAGCCTTTTGTACAGCACAATTTGCATAATTTATCAATACCGTTTGTGTACAACCACAAAAACCATGACATTAGTTTTTTTTTGTTTGTTTGTTTGTTTGTTTTTCAGTTTACATTGAGTGGAAAACCAGACAGATTATACAAGCATATTTTGTACAGTCAGCATACATCTTCCGATAATAATTTCAGTTATGTTCCCCCCACAGTCGCGTTGTCTTTCTTATTGTAGAGCAGAATCTGGACACAAAAATAGTATGAACAAATCACCAACAAAACATGCAACATCCAAAGTGAGTACATCACAGGTGTCCTGATACTACCAGCGTGAACAGGGTCAAGTTTCTGAACACAGATTAATTCTGTGTCTGTTGTGCAGGTTGGGTCGAGTTGATCACAGGCAAGGGCGGAGATTATCCTTCCACTTAGCGCACGTGTTCAAGAGTGTCAAGAGGGCCTCTCTCACTCTGCTGTTTGCGTTCACACATGATTTGTACTGAACTGGAAAATGAACAAAAGGTCCTATGTGTATAAAAGAAAGCTTGTTTTATTTACAGGATAAGAAATACTCTTTTTTTTACGGTGTCAGTGGTGAAGTGGGGAAAACATGCACTGAATCTTCAAAGCAGGAGTGTGATTAGATATGAATCTTAATATTTGAATAGAGAAAACATATGCATGGACTATTGTTCACAGGAGCAGTTGGTGCATAACATTTGTACATGAATGTTATAAAAATATTTCATAGATGACATGGGTGATAAACTCTGAAGCTAAACTGACGTGATCATGTTGAAATGTGAAAGGGGCTCACGAGACCTTTGTAAACACACATTGTACATCACCCACTACGCAACATGTCGATATTTATGTTTATGTATGTACAGACGATCTTTCTTGGAAACTAGCTCTTGGATGGAATGGAAAGGTTCGATGTGTTATCTTTATATCAGTGCAGCATAACATAACATAAACCTCATAAGCTGTAACATTTGGAGTAATCAAGCATTAAAAAAATTAAAATAAAACAAACAAACAAAAAAAAATACATAAAAGCATAGAAAAATATAAAAAAGAGTTCTTATTCATAATGCTTTCTCTGACACATAAATAGTTGATATACCAGATGCATTTAGGTTGCATAGAATTGCTTACATCCTGTAGATATGGCCAAAGTATGGCACAGATTAAAAGTTCCCCGTAACCAGGCCTTCATATTTGTATTCCTGTACCAAATGACCTGATGAGTCCGGTTTTGATACATCCAGGTTAATAACTATAATGACCATGGCATCCATTAATCAAGACTGTGAAAGTTGTATAAAAAAAAAAACAACAACAAAATACCGTACACATGGCACATTGTGTAAGTGCACACTTCTGCATTCAAATTATGGCAACATAGTTTTGGAAAATAATAAAGACACTGAGTTTAACTTGCTTAATATCCAGTAAACAGATCTGGTCCTTATCTTCACTCGACCTGTGTGAGCATTTGCCAAGCAGACCCTTTCAGTACAGATTTATTTTACGAACTACATAATATGAGGCTCA